ATTTTTAAAAAACAGTGTAACAGTGTTTTTGTTTTTTTTTTTTTTTTTTTTTTTTTTTAAGGCTTCTCACTTTGCTTCATATTTCAGGTCTTTTGTCACAGCAGAGGAATTTCACTCACACATAACCGGTGTGACAGAAGTCTGTAGTCATCAGTTTCATCAGTTTGTAGAAGGTGCACATACATGTAAGCACTCCTTTATGTTGTCTTAGTCTTAAAAAGAACTTTACAGAGAGTCTCACATGTTTACACCTTTCTTTCAATGTAAAAGAAATGTATTCAGTTGTCCTACAAAGAGGTGGAGGGCAGATGCAAAGAAAAATAGTGACAATTTTTAAATAGGTCATAACTTAGGATTAAAATGACAAGGCCAGGTAATCTTCAATGTATTTATCATAATGTCTCTAATATATCATATAATTATTTGAGAGTAAGTTCCAAAGAAACAGATCCCTGGGAAAAACCAATCCACAGATTTACCCAAACTTGAAAGATTATCCTTGTATTAGCCTTCGCTTATCGTCCGCTGAAAGATGTGAGAGTTTCCATTTGGAAGGAAGATAGTATTTTTTCATAGAATTTCTTTGTTAAATCATTAAACACATGATTGATTTATTAAAATATCAACTTATATGAAGTTTTAAAACAGTTTCAAAATAATTTCAGTGCATTTTATTCAAAATATATCTTAAAAGAACTAAAGAAACAGGATTTCTTTAAATTAATAGACAATTTGGAAGTCATTACACAACACTCTCAAAGAGCAACACTAAAATTTATTATAGTCATGAATGAATATGTTAATATACTTATAACTATTTAATGATTATTTTTGCTTATCTCTATATTTAGCTTTGCAGAAAATTTTTACTAATAACATTCAAGAATACCTACAAAAATATATAAAATTTTAGTTTAATAAAATATTAGTAGTTCACTGGACTTTCATGTAATCATCTTATTAATCAATGTATAGTTCATCTCAAATATTCAGAATTGTCTGTTTTGAATTAGCAGGGGACTGAAGCCCAGCACTCTTACTTCACACTGAAGTGCATTCTTAGTGCACCCGATAAATAAAGCAAAACAAACTTTTGATGTCATTTATGAAGTTTACATGAGTCATTATTAATTCACAGTGAAAGTAATATTAATGATGCCTTCATAACATACTATGGATTCATCAGTTCTCATGAAGCAACTTATTGAAACTAATTATCACATAATCCCTAGAAAGCAAGACATATTGATTTTATTTCCAAATTCAGCTAACAAGTAGTGTAATTTTCAAACAGTCACAGTACTGGGAACACAATGTTTCCTATAGATATGATTCTATCTACACATGTATCAATATACATTTTGTGTATTCATACTTTTGTGTAAATACAATAATTTATAATCGTATCTTACATAGTATCTTTCTTTTCCATCATTAATACTCTGACTTTCAATTTTTATCATTATCTGCAATTTTCAAAAACTAGGCTAAAATGTAATAGGACAGTATTAAAATCACAAATTTTGGGAGATAAGTTTTAATTTTCCTCTTATGGTTTTTACTACATTAAGCAATACTGAAAACATTTAACCACTCTTTCTATTGTGCCATAAAGCTCTAAATTAATACACTTTGCAGGTTATTCTCACCTGAGTCATTGGAAATGATTGCTTTAGAATACTCAGGATTTTCCTTTTCTTTTCCTATGGCAGAAATATGCCAAACATATATCACACTAAAATGCATTCTCACTCATCAAAAGGAAATATATCTACTGTGATGAATTTTCCTTGTCCATGAATTACTCGTGGAACAATCGGCAGTAATGAAGCATTGCTAATGCACTGAACAAAAATACATCCTTTCAAATCTGAGTCAACTATTGTTATAAGTTTTCATAATGTCCTTTATAAATCAGAAAATAGGAATGTTGGGGACATCATATTTTTGAGACACAGTCTGCCTGTAACCCAGGTGACCTCAAACTCACAAGGTACACCAGCCTAGCATTGAACTTACAGAGATCCGACTGCCTCTGCCTCCCAGTACTGGGATTATAGGTATGAGTCACCATGCTTAGTGAAAATATGAATTTAGCTGAAAGTCAAACTACCCTATGGTATGAATTTTGAGAATACAAATGTTTCTAAGTAAAAGTTATGTCTATCAAAATATATAATATTTGATGAAAATATCGAAATAACATAAATTTTAAAAACTTTTTCTATAATTTTCTTGCTTGTCATATTATAGGGACTGTACTGTCCTGGTCTTTTTATTATGGAATTTCCACCTTTAAAAAGATATTTTCATAAATCTTTTCCTCGTTCATATGCAAATTAAGATACAACAACTTCGTGCACTTTAGGATTTTCCAAGTTGTGTTTATGTATTAGCATTTTCACATATTCACATGATATTTAGAGAATATGCGGCAACTCAATGATACTTAGTTTCTTGTTCTAGTTTGTTTCTCCATTGCTTTGATGAAACACTCTGACCAATAGCAAAATGGGGAGGAAAGGGTTTATTTGGCTTATATCTCCCAGGGTTCATCAGGGAGTCCAAGGTACAAACTCCTGTCAGGAACCTGGAGGCAGAGGCTGGAGCACTGGCCATGGAGGAATGCTGCTTACTAGTTTGCTCCCCTGGCCCCTGCCCACACTGCTTTCTTATACAGTACAGGACCACCTGCCCAGGAATGGCTCCACCCACAGTGGGCTGGGCCTTCCCACATCACTCAACAATCAAGAAAATTACCCCACAGATATGGCCACAAGCCAGTCAAATGGAATTAATTCTCCACTTGAGACTCCCTACTCCAGGTGTGTCAAGATGACACTAAAACTATCCAGCACACTGCTTTATTCACACAGTGTCTTCTTTGACAGTTAATAATGAAGTATTTGTCTTTCAGTGTTGTGAGGTTCCTGTTCACTAAGAAATCTCTGATGCTTCCTAAGACAGGAGCCATTTGTAAATGGTGGCTGACATGGTTTATCTGTAGGTTTTCTCTACAATAAAGATTCTGTAACATTCAACAAGATTGGATGGGAAAGTAAAGTCTTTCTCACAGTAATTATATTTCTAGTTTCTCATACTTATGAACTAAAAATAAATTTTTATTAGAGATTTTGCAATTTGGGCTTAATTCTAAGTTTTCCTTCAGTACACTATGAAGTTTTATAATATATAAATATAAGCATTTGAGCATTTTCCAGACTTAGATATATCCCTCTAGTATGGATTCTGCTTTGCTTTCTAAGGATTGAGCCAAGGGTAAAGAAGTACCACATTCTCTGCAATTGCAAACTATCTTTTTAGTATGAGTTTTTGATAACTGCCACAATAATTAATACAATAATAAGTTGACATATTATTAAAGGAATTGCCACATTTATATTTGCAGTGTCTCCTTTTACTGTAAATTCTTTGATGTTCTCTAAGAGTTGAAATACAAATACAGAACTTCTTAAATCCTGTTCATTTGTGGGGTTTCTCTCTGGTATGCATTGTCTCATGTCTTCTATGTGCTGAGCTCTCAGGTGTTCACATTCTTCTTATCGGAATGGTTACTTTCCAGTATGAATTCATTGTTGAAACATTAAATCTGACTAAAGGACATGTCACATGCTTCACATTAGTAGGGTTGTTCTCAAGTATGACTTCCATGATGTGCTCTAATCTAAGACATATTTTTAAAGGATTTCTTACATTACTCACAATTGTAGGGATTCTCTCCGATAGGAATTCTCTGATGTTTCTTATAAGTGGAGCTGATCATAAAGGACTGACCACATTCTTCACATCAGTAGTGTTTCTCTCCAGTATGTATTCACTGAAGTCTTCTAAGATGCAACAAGTGACTAAAGGACTTGACATTCTTAACATTTGTAGAGTTTCTCTCCAGTATGCATTCACTGATGTGCTCTAAGATTTTGACATTCCACTAAAGGACTTGTCATATTCTTCACATCTGTTGGGTTTCTCTCCAGTATGTGTTCGCTGATGTGTTCTGAGAGTTGACGTTTGGGTAAAGGACTTGCCACATTCTTCACATTTGTAGGGTTTCTCTCCAGTGTGTATTCGCTGATGTACTCTCAGATGTGACATTTGAATAAAGGACTTGCCACACTCTTCACATCTGTAGGGTTTCTCTCCTGTATGTATTCGCTGATGTGCTCTAAGATCTGACATATATCTAAAGGACTTGTCACATTCTTCACACCTGTAGGGTTTCTCTCCAGTATATATTTGCTGATGTGCTCTAAGACTTAATATTCGACTAAAGGACTTTACACATTCTTTAGATCTGTAGAGTTTCTCTCCCACATGTATTAGTTTATGTACTCTGAGATGTGACACTTGACTAAAGCACTTGACACATTCTTCACATTTGTAGGGTTTCTCTCCAGTATGTATTCGCTGATGTGTTCTGAGAGTTGATGTTTGGGTAAAGGACTTGCCACATTCTTCACATTTGTAAGGTTTCTCTCCAGTATGTATTCGCTGATGTTCTCTAAGACTTGACATTCGACTAAAGGACTTGACACATTCTTCACATCTGTAGGGTTTCTCTCCTGTATGTATTCGCTTATGTATTCTGAGATATGACATTTGCCTAAAGGACTTGTTACATTCTTCACATCTGTAGGGTTTCTCTTCAGTATGAATTAGCTGATGTTTTCTAAGAATTGACAGTTCTCTAAAGGATTTGCTACATTCTTCACATTTGTAGGGTTTCTCTCCAGTATGAATTCGCTGATGTACTCTCAGATAGGACATTTTACTATAGGTCTTGCCACATTCTTCACATTTGTAGGGTTTCTCTCCAGTATGAATTTGCAGATGATCGCTAAGACTTGACATTTGACTAAAGGACTTGGAACATTCTTCACATCTATAGGGTTTCTCTCCAGTATGAATATATTTATGCTTTCTAAGATTTGAGACTTGGGTATTGAATTTGTCACATTCTTCACATTTGCAGGGTTTCTCTATGTTATAAACCCTCCGATGTCTTCTAAGAATTGAGTTCTCCAGGCAAAGAAAAACAGAAGAAAACATTTCAATATGGAGAATAAAGCTGAGACAATCACACACTCACAGATCCATAAAGAACATGTAATATGCATGGATAAAATTTCCAACCTTGAGAAACATTCAAATGAACAAGAATAAAAATCTACAGAGTAAAAGAGGGAGATGAAATCAAAACTAAATGACAAAATTTATTCAGTAAAAATAAATTAGAAAATATATGAAAAACACAGCAATAAATGGATATAAAATCATAAGAAGAGTCATTTAGAAAGTTGAAGTAAGTATTAACAGGGCTCTACATAACAAGCCAGATAGGCAACATGAGAAAAATAGTAAGCAAAAAAATCAATACTAAATCCTGTGAGGAAAAAATGCCAACTAATTACAAAGGAAGGAAATTTGTAACAACATCAGATCTCTTGTCAAGAAAAACCAGAGGCAAAACATTGTGAAACAATGTAAAAATACATTTATCATACTGAAAGTGAACAAATTAACTAAAATTGACTTGTAGAAAAGGTATCACTTAAAATTAATGGAGGAACACCCACACCAACTCTTCACTGTGGACAAGCTCAGTGCACCTGGAGGGAAAGTCTGGGTCAGTAAAAGTTGCATCAGTGCTCTTCTATAATAGAAGGAGGAAGGGAAGATGGTTGTTTCATACTTCACAGACCTTTCCTCTCTGTGTTCTTTTCTTTTCCATAACTTAAAATAATTGGTACATCTAACAAGTAAAAATTTAAGAACATTCTCTACTTATCAGTATTCATACCATAAAATGAGCCTCAACATGAAGCAAATACTTGACAGCAGCCGAGGATGGAGCATGCTAGATTGTCCAAAAGTTCCCATGCATTTGAATTTGCTTTTCACTCATAAAACTTCATTCTAGTCTAAGGAAAATAGATACGTCTCAAAATGAAACTTACGATAAAATTTCCCACTTACTCTCAACCACAGGATTCTATTTTCATAAAATGGCACTGGAACAAAAAAACTTGAGCTGCTTTTCATTAAAAAAAAATTGATGGAGGATGAAGTTCATTTGAAGAAATTTACCAATTCATGGCAAGAAAGTCATCACTTTAGAATTTGTGGAAGCAAATAAGATACACAGAGGAGAAAGTCTCATTCATGGGAACAGAAGTGAGAATACAACTGTAAAAAGTAATTGATGAATGCACCATGTTCCAGGAGGAATCCACTGTGAGCAACACAGAAAACAAAGTAGAGATCAATATTAATACTAATAAAGGTTAATACTAGTCAACGTTTCTAACAGCCAAAACACCAGCAAAATCATCTTGAATTAAAAAATTCTCCCACAATAATATTAAATGAAAATTTCCTCAGGTCATCAATTAAAAGTCAGGGTCAAGAAGAGTGGGTTCAAAGTAAGACTCAAGTAGCTCTTCTGTTTAAGAAACACACTTTACTGACAATGACATTCAGAAACCTAGAGCTAATTATGGCAAACAAACGAACAGCTAAAAGAATATATAAACAAGGTGGAGCATCAATCCCCATAGATCAGAAAGCAGACTGCAAGCAAAAATAGGTAGAATAGATAAAATGATCAGTACATATTAGTAGAAAGAAATTTTTATGGTGAACAATTGCAAATTTTTGGTACATAATGATTTCTAATTTTATAATACAAAGCCCAAGTAGAAAAAAGCTTAAAATTGATACTGATATAAAAATATTAGCAAGATCTGAATTATTTCGTAGATAAACAGGATTTCAATGACTGTTACTTAGATGAAATAAGAATGAAAATTTTTCATATTATTCTAGAAAAGATCACATTATGGGTTGGAAAGCCAGTATCATCTAAAACAGCTGTTTTTAAAAATTGATTGAATTGCTTGCTTGCCCATGTACAAGAACAAACATGTGACTGCTTCTCTTTGAGTAAATCTTTTCAAGGACTTTACCTTTTGGACTTAACCTTTAAAAGCTCCCATCCCCTCCCACTTAGTGCAGCATTCTCTAAATTGGCCCAGAGAGGTGCAGTGGCTGGCCAGCTAAATGAATCTGGCTGATTCAGAAAAAGTAAAAAATAAAATATGATCATGTATTTTTAAGTAGTAGTGGAAGAAAACTACAAATAAACTAGAAAAGAAATGAAAGTCTGTGGAAATATTTATTGAGCAAATGTCATTTGAAGGAATTTTGGATCATTGTTATACCCAAGATGGGAATTTTCAAATTCCTAAAAATTTCTTCTTTGAAGAAAAACCATAATCGATAAAAATCATGACCTCAAATATAGGTGTGGAAAAAAATAATGTAGAAATAGAATTCAATTTTCTACTGAATGAGGAAGATAAACACTGTGCATTAGATGGGGAGAAAAAAACAACAGAAAAGAAAAAAATCAAAACAGAATATAAAATATTAGATGAAATCCATCACTCTATTCATTGGAAAACAAAAAAGAACTGACTGCTCACATCCCTCTGCTTCCCTGGGCCTCCACGACCAACAGGCCTCTCTCTGGGGTAAGTCAATCGCCTCCTCCATGCCTTGACTCCCCCAGCCTCATTCACTCTCTCATCACCCCTACCTATCTCTCCTCCTAGCCAGGGTCCTGTCCCATTCCTTGTCTTGGCGCCCCAGACACCGGGGGAACCACCACTGCTTAATGATCCTTTGCATCCAGGCCAACACAGTTCCTTCTCACTGTCCCCAGGGCCTGTGGCCTCTGGGCCTGGTCTTACCCTCATCTCCCTCTGCTTCCCTGAGATGTACGCCTGCCAGCCTCTTTCCTGGATGCTGGGGCTGACCTCCTGGTCCGGGGGCCATCACTGCTTCTTGATCCCTTGCATCCAGATGGACCCAGTTACTTCTTGAGGCACCCAGGAGCCCTCTGGGCCCAGTCATGCCCTCATCTCACTCTGCTTCCCTGAGCTGCACAACCCACCAGCCTCTCTCCCAGGAGACCTCTGGGCCTGCTCCTGCCCTCACCTCCCTCTGCTTCCTTGGGGTGCATGGCCCACCAAGCCTCTTTCCTGGATGCCTGGGCTGACCTCCCTGCCCAGGACCACCACTGCTTCCTGATCCCTTGCATCCACAGGGACCCAGTTCCTTCTGGAGATCCCTAGCACCCCCCTGGGCCTCGTCCAGTCCTCAACTCCCTCTGCTTCCCTGGGCTGCACAACTTGCCAGCCTCTTTCCTGGGTGGCAGGGCTGACCTTCCACTTCCTGATCCTTTACATCCAGATGAACCCATTTATTCACTGCAGTACCCAGGAGCACTAGGGGCCTCATTCTGCCCCCCATCTCCCTTTGCATCTCTGGGTGGCAAGGTCACCAGCTGCCCAAGACCAACATTTTTCCAGGGCCCTGCTTCCAGGCCAGTATAACCCCCAAATTCCTGAGGCCAAAATCTTTCCTGGAGGGATCCAGGCCTTAAGAGAAAGCCTGAGAGCATCTGATCCTCATCTGACTTGGGCCTCTGTGGGAACTCCTGAAGACAAAAGCAATCTGGCCACTCCAATATAAAATCAAAAGAGAGAACTGAAAGCTTAGATGAACCAGTTTTTCATGCCCAAAAAGTAAACCACAAAGGCAAATAAAGCTCACAAAAAGAAGCAGACCTAAACTTGAAGGGTTGAGTCTCACACAAGAATGAGAAAATACAAAAGAAATTCACATGTCAGAATCACTGAGAAAAAATAATAATATGAAAAACCAAAATAACATATCCCCACCAAATACCAATAATCCTTTGGAGGAGTACAATAAGAACCCCCAAGAGATAATGCAAGAAAAGGAACTAAAAAGAATAATTATGAACATGATAAAAAAAAATTCAGTGAATTTAAAGAACACACACAAAAAAAATGAAATAAAAAAACTGAAGGAAGATAGGGATAAACTTCTGAAAGAATTCAGAAAAGAACTAGAAATATTGAAGACTTCTCAGGCTGAAATGAAGAAGAAAGTGAAACACTCAGTTGGCCAATTAGAAATGACAGGAGAAAGCCTCACCAATAGGACGAATGAAATGGAAAACAGAATATCAAAACTGGAAGATAAAGTGGACAAACTAGACCACTCAAGCAAAGATTATGAAAAATTTAAGAAAGCACAAGATGGAATATGCAGGAATTTTGTGACACCGTAAAAAGGCCAAACTTACAAATCATAAGCATACAGGAAGGAGAAGAATCACAAGATAATGGCAGGGACCAGATCTTCAAAAGAACTGTGGAATAAAATTTCCCAAAATTAAAGAAAGACATGCCCATACAAATACAAGAAGCATATAAAACACCAAACAGACAGGACCTGAAAAGAAACTCTCCATGGCACATCATAGTAAAAACAATAAATGTACAGAACAAAGAAACAATACTGAAAGCTGAAAAAGAGAAACAACAAGTCACATATAAAGGAAAACCCATCAGGATTACAGCTGACTTTTCATTGCAAACTACGAAACCCAAAGAACCTGGAACAAAGTATTCCCAGTTTAAATGACCACAGATGCCAACCCAGATTACTATACCCAGCCAAACTGTCTATTACAGTTGAAGGGGAAAAAAAATCTTCCATGACATAAATAGGCTGAAGGAATTTATGTCCACAAAACCAGCCCTTCAGAGAGTTGTGGAAGCAATACAAAGAGTTGAAGAAAGGAATGATTATACCCAAAGGGATGCAGAAAGAAATCCAATGAAGGTATAACTGTGGAAAAGTACAGCTATGTCAAGAATGTAAGCAGAAATAAAAATGACAGGATTCAATACACATCTTTCATTAATAACTTTAAATATTAACAGACTGAACTCCCCAGTCAAAAGACACAGACTGGGTGAATGGATTAAGAAAGAAAACCCATCTTTTTGTTGTCTGCAAGAAACTCATTTCACTTTCAAGGACAGGCACTATCTTAGTGTGAAAGGATGGAAAAAAATATACCAAGCAAATGGTACTAAGAAAAAGGCAGGTGTTGCAATTCTAATATCTGACAAAATAGAATTTAAACTAAAACTAATCAGAAGAGATAAAGAGGGCCACTTCATTCTGATCAAAAGAACAATAAACCAAGAAGATATTACAATCATGAACATATATTCACCAAACTCTGGTGCACCCAACTTCATAAAAACAATACTACAGGACTTTAAGACCCAGATTAATCCCAACTCATTAATAGTAGGGGACTTCAATATCCCATGGTCTCCAGTAGATAGGTCAACATGGCAGACACTTAACAGAGAGATATCTGAATTAAACAACACCATATATCAAATGGACCTAACAGACAGCTACTGAGTATTCCACCCAAGCATCAAAGGACATACTTTCTACTCAGCACTCCATGGAACCTTCTGCAAAATTGACCATATACTGGGGTACAAAACAAACCTCAACAAATACAAAATGAATGAAATAATTCCATGCACTCTATCAGACCACAATGCAACAAAGCTTATAATCAACCCAAGGAGAAGCCCTAGTCACCACATGAACACATGGAGATTAAACAACACACTCCTGAATGATGACTGGGTCAAAAGAGAAATTGAGAAAGAAATAAAAGGATTCCTGGAACTAAATGAAAGGACAATACAACACAACAAAACCAATGGGACATGCTGAATGCTGTCCTTACGTGTAAGTTTATAGGTCTAAGTGCCTACATCAAAAAATCAGAAACAACACAAATAAATGACTTAACAATGCAACTCAAGACACTTAAAAAGCAAAAACAAATGAAACTCCAACCCAGCAGACAAGAAGAAATAACAAAAATTAGGGCAGAAATTAATGAAATCGAAACAAAGAAAACAATACAAAGAATCAATAAATCCAAGAGCTGGTTCTTTGAAAAGATAAACAAAATAGACAGACCACTAGCCCAGTTACCCAAAAGAAAGAAAGAGTACCTCCAAATCAACCAAATCAAAGATGAAAGGGGAAACATCACAACAGACACCAGAAAGATACAGAACACTATAAGGGAATACTTTAAAAACATAGGCTACTAAATTTGAAAACCTAAAAGAAATGGACAGATATCAAAAGGCATGGAAACCACCAAAACTAAACCAAGAAGAGATTAACAACTGAAACAGACCCATAACACAAAAAGAAATTGAAACAGTAATACAAAACCTCCCGACTGAACAAAGCCCAGGACCAGATGGATTTACAGCAGAATTCTATCAAATATTTGAAGAAGATCTACATCCAATACTACATGATTTATTCAAAAAGAGAGAAACGGAGGGAGAACTTCCAAATTCCATCTATGAAGCCAGCATCACTCTAATACCAAAGCCAAGTAAAGATATAACCAAAAAAGAAAACTATAGACCCATATCCTTAATGAACATAGATGCAAAAATTCTCAACAAGATACTTGTAAACCGC